GGTTCTTTTTCAACAGGAGCCATTACCAATTTGCAAATTAAAAACACCTTCAAAGGTCCAAAACTTATTTTGTTATGCCAGTATAATATAGTGGTTAAGGCTGGGTGCAGTGGCTTACGCCTGTAATCCCAGCACTTTGGGAGGCCAAGGCGGGCGGATCAACTGAGGTCAGGAGTTCAAGAACAGCCTGGCCAACATAGTGAAACCCTGTCTCTACTAAAAAATAAAAAAATTAGCTGGGCATGGTGGCGCGTGCCTATAATCCCAGCTACTCAGGAGGCTGAGGCAGAATTGCCTGAACCCAGGAGGCGGAGGTTGCGGTGAGCGGAGATCGTGCCATTGCACTCCAGCCTGGGTAACAAGAGCGAAAACTCCGTCTCAAAAATAAAATAAAATAAAATAAGAAAACAGCTAGCTGGCTAGCTAGCTTAGTAACATTAGCATATCAGTGAAATACAAACCAGAAATGAAAAGTGGAGTTTGGAGATACAAACTTTGAAATTATTATATTCGGGGATAGAGATTGAATTGGGGGAAAACAGCAACTTTGTCATTAGAGAGGTATTTTCAACTCTGGACAATGACATTTTATCAGAGCTTATCGTGGTCTGATAACACTCCTTTTGCTTTGCTTCCGTGCTCATTAAAATGGGTGCTCTGGAGAGGGAAGACAAATATTCCAATCACTAGAAAGCTAGCTTCAACTATAAATTAATAAATTGACCTTCCACCTTCTACATGGGTGTTATGTGATTTTAACTAGTATTCCTCAGTCCCAGAGAATTTTATTCCCTTTAGGAATGCTGAGAAACTTTAGTGCCTTAAATTGCCAGATTTGAGACTTAGCCTCTGGATGTGGTAATTTCACCAAATTCATACTGTCTCTGACTCTTGGCAGTTGACTAGCTGGATCTTCCAGTTATACCTCTTCTTCAACATGCACGATTGTCATCTCTGCTTCAAATGTCAGCAAACAGTAACTTGTTTTTCAAAGCCATCTGCTGATAGTTCTATGCCTGATGATTCTTTAAAAAAATAATTCATGTTTAATTATACCATGCATGATATGTTTGCTATGTAAAAATTTCAAACACTAAAGTGCCTTTTGACTGCCATCTTCCGTGCCTCTGTGCCTATCTCCTCTCCTTCCCTGCCTACTATTCCCACCAGGGTAATCCTTGTCTCTGATATTTGTGTTACATCCTTTCAAAGTGGTTTTTTGGTTTTTTTTGGTTTTTTGTTTTTAAGATGGAGTCTTGTTCTGTCACCCAGGCTAGAGCGCAGTGGTGGGATCTCTGCTCACCACAACCTCTGTCTCACGGGTTCAAGTGATTCTCCTGCTTCAGCCTCCTGAGTAGGTGGGGTTACAGGCACCCACCACCACACTTGGCTAATTTTTGTATTTTTAGTAGAGACGGGGTTTCAGGCTGATCTTGAACTCCTGACCTCAAATGATCCCCCAGTCTCAGCCTCCCAAAGTGCTGGGATTACAGGCATGAGCCACCATGCCCAGCCCCAAACTGCTTTTTTTTTTTTTTTTTTTTTTTTTTGAGACAGGGCTTTACTCTATCACCCAGGCTGCAGTGCAGTGGTGCATCATGGCTCACTGCAACCTCTTGTCTCCTGAGCTCACAGGATCCTCCCACCTCAGCATCACCAGTAGCTGGAACCACAGGTACATGCCACCACACCCAGCCAATTTTTGTATTTTTTGTAGAGATGGAAGTTGTGCTGTGTTGCTCAGGCTTGTCTCCAACTCCTGGATTCGTGATCCACCCATCTTGGCCTCCCAAAGTGCTGGGACTACAGGCACTAGCCATCACACACAGGCCCAAACTCTTTTTATGTACATTTATTATACATATAGATAAGACCCTCCAGGAATTATATATTATTATATATATTATTGAATATTTGTATACTTGTGTTAACATAAAAAGTATCATACCTTACTCAGCAGGCTTATTCCTCATAGCCAAAAGCCGAAACAACTATCTGGATGTCCTTCAAGGGGCAAGTGGTTACACAAATAGTTGGGCTACCTGTGGAATGCAGATAAGCGTTTGGAGATATATATTGGAGGAAGGGCAGGACACAGTCACAGGTCATTTATGACATAGAAGATACAGGATGAGGAAACAGTTTGCTTTTTTGGTGGTAGTTGTTCAACGATACATCTTGGATATCTACCTATGGTAGTAAAGAGATTTCTCTCATTATTTCAAAATACTGCATGATATTCCAAAATAATAGTAACTTTGTTTAGGGCTATTTCCCTATGAATGAACATTTAGGTTTTTCCTAGTTCTTTGCTATAATAAACTACCTTCTATATGTCTTCTCACACACAAACACCAGTGTTTCTCAAGGACAGTAATTCTCAACTGGGGAGTTTCTCCCCAGGGGACAGTTTTGGTTGTTACAATATGGGGAGAGAGAGTGAGCTACTGCCATCTGGGTAGAGGCCAGGGATGCTGCTAAACATACTACGGTGTACAGGACAGCCCAACAAAGAATTATCCAGTAAGACATTAAAGCCAATGCAGTGTTTTTGGCTGTTGTTAACACAGAACCCATACCTGACATGGATTTCTGTATCAGTTAACTATTGTGGTGTAAGCATTCAAAACTTTTTTTTTTTTTTTTTTTGAGACAGGGTCTCACTCTGTCACCCAGGCTGGAGAGCAGTGGCACAATCTCAGCTCACTGCAGTCTCAGCCTCCACAGGATCAGGTGATTCTCCTGCCTTAGCCTCCCAAGTTGCTGAGATCATGTGGCACCACATCCAGTTAATTTTTGTATTTCTTACAGAAATGAGGTTTTGCAGCTTTGTGCAGTGGCAGTATCGTAGCCAATGAGGTTTATCTGAGGCGCGATTACTGCTAACTGAAAACTTTTCCCAATACCCCGCCATGACGACTTGAAATATAGTCGGCATTGGCAATTTTTGACAGTCTCTACGGCGACTGAAAAAACAAAGGAAATGAGGTTTTGCTATGTTGCCCGAGCTTGTCACAAACTCCTGGGCTCAAGTGATCCACCCACCTCAGCCTTCCAAGGTGTTAGGATTACAGGAATGAGTCACCACGCCTGACCCCAAAACTTAAGAGAATAACTTATTTTTCATGATTCTGTGGGTTATAGATGGGCGTATCTCTTAGATCACTCATGTAGTTGCATTCACCTGGGCAGTGGTGAGGCTGGAAAGCCCAAGGTAGCCCCACTCGTATGTCTGGCAATTGTCAGCTGTCATCTAAGATGCCTCAGTTCTCTTCCTTGTGGCCTCTCATCCTCTAGCAGCCTAGACCAGCAAACTTACGTGGTCAGGGCATTCTTCCAAGAGAGCAAAAAGTGGAAGCTGGTGGGTTTATTGAGACCTGAACCTAGACTTCACACAGCATCACTCCTGCCACATTCAGAATTCACATAGCTCCACTCTGCTGTGTTCTGTCAACACAAGTTGCAAAGCCAGCTCATTTTCAAGAGAGGGAAAGTAAACAACCTCTTGCTGGGAGAAGCAGCTACCACTAAGTCACACTGAGCAGAACTGCTATGTGAGGATTAGAAGATAAGGAAGTGAAGTTGTTTGAGTTTTAGGATGGCATAAGACCGATCTATGGTGTTCATCTTAGATCTAGTGGAAAATCTTCAGTATGCCATGGCCTAGAATACTGAAGTATTAATTGAGGGTAATGATTCAGTCCATTCTTATCAATACATGCATAAAATCACAGGTCATTAATATTATCATAGGTCATATTACATTATATTTTAAGTGTCTGTGTGAGTCTTTATCTTTCTGCCCATGGTGTCTAGTACACAGGAACTGAGTAAGTTTTTGGGAAATCAAACTGAAGTTACTAGCTGCCAGCCAGACAACTCTGTTGACCCTTAGCAGTTACAGGTTTAACATTCCTGGATTTGACTATTCAAGAATGATTCCAAAGGTTCATGATATCATTTATAATTGCTGACTCATAAATATGAATCATGCTGTGAGGCTGGTATGCTAGAAAAAACTCTTAGCCATTGAGTGAGCTTAGTTCATTTGCTTAATGGCTTCATCTCAACACAGCTTCATTGTTCTTGGCCTATTCAAGTGTGAGATCTCAGTAGCGAAATCTTATGAAAGGGCCACTTAATTTCCATGAAAACAGGCTATAATGGTGCATGTCAATAATAAAACTTGTGAAGATCTCAGGAGCTATCTCTATGACTAAGTAAAAGAGGCAGGGGTGTGTGTGCCTAAGATTCCATTTGGAAAAACTGTGAAAATGTCACTGTCTGAGGAATGCTCTTAGGCTGGACTTTGAAAAGCAAAGACACAGCTCTGGGGAGTACTGCTGGAAAGGCATCCAGCCTCCTCTGCCATTCCTTCCTTGTGCGGACAGACTATAGACTCCTAGGCCCCATGTCAGAGAGATATCCTGGGTGCAGAACTGGAACATGAATCCTAAAAGGTAGTCAACAGTTATTTGTACTTCTCTCTCATGACTACTCACAGTCACTTCTTAAGGGCTCTGTTGACAAGTAAAAATGGAACCAGTGATAAAGCTTTGGTCTATTGGTCCATTTTACCTTTTCTTTTCAATACAAAGGTATGCTTGTACTCAAGAGGATCCTGGGACATTGTATCTATTTAACTGTATTTTCATTTTGCTTTATTATTATTCATTCATTTAAATTGATGAATGTTCAGGGCAGCCAAATCTATTTTATAAAGTGGTAGGAACAATAATAGAGCACATTAACTTTCAATGTCCATTTTATAGTCTATAGGAAAAGCACTGGGTCCAAACTTTAATGTCCTTTGTCTTTTTTTATACCTGGCATATTATAATATAGTATTATACTCTATAATATGCCAGGTGATTCTGCAAAGGAAGATCACAGACTAAGAGTACCTAAAATAAAAGTCACATTTAGTAACCATTTATTTCCAGTTAAAAGAAAATGTAAGATAAATCATTTTGAATCACTCTGCTTAAAATGTATTACAGGAGGAAGTCTAACAGGAGCTGTATTTAATCCAGCTTTGGCACTTTCGCTACATTTCATGTGTTTTGATGAAGCATTCCCTCAGTTTTTTATTGTATACTGGCTGGCTCCTTCTTTAGGTAAGCATATTTTTATTTAATATGTCTGAAAGATCAGAGTATTTTAAAATATGATATGTGCATACCATAGTAACATGTCAATTTCCAAAGCTAGAGCAAGCACAAAACAGAAAATGAAAACGGTAGTTAACATGCCTGAAATAATAATTTTTGTAGTATCCTTTAAAACTGTTTTTATCTTTTTATCTTCAAAGAAACAGTATCTAGTTATGGGTAGTCAGTTTCAGATATGCTATCACTTTAAAAGTTTGAGCTCTGAGCATCACCAAAGAAGCAAGGAGTGCTTACTTCCCTTCAAAAAGAATCTTTTTTTTTTTTTTCTACTAAAGATACTTGTTTTTTCAGGCTGGGTGCAGTGGCTCATGCCTGTAATCCCAGCACTTTGAGAGGCCGAGGCAGGCGGATCACCTGAGATCAGGAGTTTGAGACCAGCCTGGCCAACATGGAGAAACCCTGTCTCTACTAAAAATACAAAAAAATTAGCTGGGCGTTGGGACGGTCACCTGTAATCCCAGCTACTCGGGAGGCTGAGGCAAGAGTACTGCTTAAACCCATGAGTCGGAGGTTGCAGTGAGCCGAGATTGTGCCATTGCACTCCAGCCTGGGCGATAGGGTGGGATTCCATCTCAAAGAAAAAATAAATAAATAAATTTGTTTTTTCACATTTATGAGCTCCAGATGAAGTATCATTGAGTTCATCTGACTCATTTTGTAGAAAAGCATCTCATGAAACAATGAATTCCTATATTTAGTTTAAAAATTATCCACAAGTTATATTTCTGTTATTTTTATTTTATTGCTTTTTTTTCTTTTTCTTTTTAGAGACAGGGTCTGACTTTGTTACCCAGGCTTGAGTGCAATGGCATCATCATAGCTCACTGTGCATGAACTCCTGGGTACAAGGAATCCTCCTGCCTCAGCCTCCCGAGTAGCTGGGATGATGGGCATATGTCACGACACCTGGCTAATTTTTGTATATTTTGTAGAGATGAGATCTTGCTATGTTGCTCAGGCTACATTCCAGTTATTTCTATTTGGAACAGATATATAAACTCTCTTATAAAGATGGGTCAAATAACACACAAAATTATAACAACATACAAAAAAATTTATGCATATTATGCATTCACTTATTTTTTTTTAGATGGAGTTTCTCTCTTGTTCAGGCTAGAGTGTAATGGTATGATCTCAGCTCACCGCAACCTCCGCCTCCCAGGTTCAAGCGATTCTCCTGCCTCAACCTCCCAAGTAGATGAGATTATAGGCATGCACCACCACGCCTAGCTAATTTTGTATTTTTAGTAGAGACAAGAGTTTCTCAATGTTGGTCAGACTGGTCTTGAACTCCTGAACTCAGGTGATCCACCCACCTTGGCCTGCCAAAGTACTGGGAATTACAAGCGTGAGCCACTACAACCAGCCCCTTATGCAGTTACTTATATAAAGTTATCAGCATTTCTTGATTTTCTTTAGTCATCTGTTTTAAGCCTGATTATAACTCATAACTGTAAGTGAATATGAAGATGCCTGGCCCTCCATTAATTCACTCTTCTATTTATCCAGTTAGCATATTGTTTCTTGTTGTCATTTTGTTTAAACACACATACACACACACACACACACACACACACGGGAAAAGTGCCACAACAGGTTTCAATAGTCAATCACACTTTACTCTTCCTGTTCACCTTCCATTTTTCTATCTCACATTTAGTGTTTTTTATGCGCCAGTAATATCTATAGGCCTAAACATGAAGAATATCCAAGAAAAACTGGTTTTAAATGCTAGTAATGCAGGCCAGGTGTGGTAGCTCATGCCTGTAATCCCAGCACTATGGGAGGCCAAGGCGGTTGGATCACCTAAAGTCGGGAGTTCAAGACAAGCCTGACCAACATGGAGAAACCCCGCCTGTACTAAAAATACAAAAAACTAGCTGGGCATGGTGGCACATGCCTGCATTCCCAGCTACTCAAGAGGCTGAGGCAGGAGAATCACTTGAGCCCCAAGAGTTGGAGGTTGCAGTGAGCTGAAATCTCACCATTGCACACCAGCCTGGGTGGGCAACAGGAACAAAACTCCATCTCAAAAACAAAAAATGCTAGCAATGGCCAGGCACCGTGGCTCACAACTGTAATCCCAACACTTTTAAAGGCTGAGGTGGGCAGATCATGAAGTCAAGAGATCGAGACCATGACCATCCCAACCAACATGGTGAAACCATGTCTCTACTAAAAATACAAGAATTAGCTGGGCATGGTGGTGTGTGCTTGTGGTCCCAGCTACCTGAGAGGCAGTGGCAGCAGAATCACTTGAAACCAGGAGGCAGAGGTTGCAATGAACCAAGATTGCGCCACTGTACTCCAGCCTGGAGACAAAGCAAAACTCTGTCTAAAAAATAAAAAAAAAAAAAATAAAAAAAAAAATTGTCACGTCTACAGAGTGCTAGTATTTTCTGATAACTTCTTTAAAGAAAAATTTCCTCTGTTTTTAATTTTGAAGCTAAAAAGGTCACTAATGTAAAGAAGTTAACAAACAAGGTCACTAATCAGGCAGGCCTACTGGTAGTTTTTATATGAAAAAATTCTCCCAGTATGTCTGGACACTAACATATGATAATATGATTTGTTACTGTGCTCCAACTACAATTGTAACAGTAGGCTAAGGCAGAAGTCCCCAAGCCCCCAGGCTGCAGACCAGTACACTCCATGGACTGTTAGGAACCAGGCTGCACAGCAGGTGAGCCGAAGTCAAGCTGACAAGCTCCATCTCCTGTCACATCAGCAGAGGCAGTAGATTCTCATAGGAGCGTGAACTTTATTGTGAACTGAACATGTGAGCAATCTAGGTTACACACTCTTTATGAGAATCTAATGCCTGATGATCTGAGGTAGAACAGTTTCATCCCAAAACTGTGCCCCCAGTCCATGGAAAAACTGCTTTCCAGGAAGCCGGTCCCTGGTGCCAAAAATGTTGCGGATTGCTGTATTAAGGAATTATTTCATCCATTACTTGAAAGAACATTAAAAAGTAGTCAGGCGGGCTGGATGTGGTGGCTCATGCCTATAATCCCAGTGCTTTGGGATGCCAAAGTGAGTGGATCATCTGAAGTCAGGAGTTTGAGACCAGCCTGGCCAACGAAAATACAAAAATTAGCCAGCTGTGATGGTATGTGCCTGTAATCCCAGCTACTCAGGAGGCCGAGGCAGAAGAATCACTTCAACTCAGGAGGCAGAAGTTGCAGTTAGCCAAAATCGCACCATTACACTCTAGTCTGGGTAACACAGTGAGACTCGATCTCCAAAAAAAAAAAGGAGACAAGCACAGTGGCACATGCCTATAGTCCCAGCTACTTGGGAGGCTGATATAGGAGAATTGCTTGATCCCAGGAGTTCAACGCCACCTTAGGTAACATAGCAAAACCATGTCTAAAAAATAAATTTTAAGCTGGGCGTGGCAGCTCACGCCTGTAATCTCAGCACTTTGAGAGGCCAAGGCGGGTGAATCACCTGAGGTTTGGAGTTCGAGACCAGCCTGACCAACAAAGAGAAACCTTGTCTCTACTAAAAATACAAAATTAGCCAGATTTAGTGGCACATGCCTGTAATCCCAGTTACTTGGGAGGCTGAGGCAGGAGAATCACTTGAACCCAGGAGGCGAAGGTTGTGGTGAGCAGAGATCACGCCATTGCACTCCAGCCTGGGCAACAAGAGCAAAACTCTGTCTCAAAAAAAAAAAAGAATCATTCAAAAAGTTAAGAGATCAGGAGTCTAAAATAAAAACAAAAACAAACACCACTCAACTACCAAATTATTAGGCAATGCCAGCGTGCCAGGAGAGTGATAAAGAAGAAACAGCAATCCCAAGATATCCATCTTCTTTCCTTCTTGACCAAGCAGGAAGCAGTCTATTCTTGGGAGTCATAGTCCATAGTTCTTTCTTGTTTCTCATCACAGCAGAGGTGAGAGGAATTATAATTCCTCTAATGGCCCTTGCCATCTTCCCAATTTAAAAATTTAGAAAAGTGACTATAAGGATGTATACGTAGCCTGACGTGGTAGTGCACACATGTAGTCCCAGCTACTTCGCGGTCTGAGGTAGCAGAACCACCTTAGCCGGGAAGTCAAGGCTGCAGTGAGCTGAGATCACACCACTGCACTCTAGCCTGAGTGATGGGAGTATGACCCTGTCTCAAAAAAAAAAAAAAAAAAAAAAAAAAGTATATAGAATTCTCTAGTTCATACTGTGAAAACTGGAAAATTCTACTTGCTTCCATGAAACTGCAATTCCATTTCTGGAAAAAGTTTTAAATGTAGTGTCTTATTTTCTAGTTCAGACTTTATAAAAAAATGAGAAAATCTGTGGGTCAGTTAACATAGAGGTTGTTTCTGATTTTTTTTTTCTCACTTAAAGCCTTTGGTTGCAAACAGACTCATCTTTCACAAATATGTTAAGGTATCTAACTGCTTGCCAAACCTTAAGGTTTTTGTTGTTGCAAATAGGAGAACATTTCAAATCTGCATGTGACAAAACTTGTTTTTAATCTGAATTTAAACTGATCTATGACTTTAAGCCTAAATACATTCATGTTAAGATGAAAAATTTACCACTGCAAATTTACCTTTTCGGATAGTGATTTGACCCCTTGGCTCACTCTCCTCAGTCCCTATTTCACATTGAAAAATTAACCAACAACTACATGCCAGATTTCTCTGTTGTAATCTCAGAAATGAAGATTACTAATGTGTGAATTTTCTTTTTTTTTTTTTTTGAGACGGAGTTTCGCTCTTGTTACCCAGGCTGGAGTGCAATGGCGCGATCTTGGCTCACCTGCAATCTCCGCCTCCTGGGTTCAGGCAATTCTCCTGCCTCAGCCTCCTGAGTAGCTGGGATTACAGGCACGTGCCACCATGCCCAGCTAATTTTTTGTATTTTTAGTAGAGACGGGGTTTCACCATGTTGACCAGGATGGTCTCAATCTCTTGACCTCGTGATCCACCCGCCTCGGCCTCCCAAAGTGCTGGGATTACAGGCTTGAGCCACCGCGCCCGGCAATATGTGAATTTTCAAAACATTTTGGGCCGGGTGCAGTGACTCACACCTGTAATCCTAGCACTTTGGGAGGCTAAGGCAGGTGGATCACCTGAGGTCAGGAATTCAAAACCAGCCTGGCCAACATCGAGAAACCCCATCTCTACTAAAAATACAAAAATTAGCCGAGCATGGTGGCATGTGCCTGTAGTCCCAGCTACTCTGGAGGCTGAGGCAGGAGAATCATTTGAACCCAGTGGCAGAGGTTGCAGTGAGCGAAGATCATGCTACTTCACTCCAGCCTGGACAAAAGAGTAAAACCATCTTAAAAAAAAAAACAAACAAAAATTTTGTATTGTATTTAAGATTTAAACTTCCAGCCTCGACTGAAATTTTGTTTTAGGTATTTTATTTGCTTGACACATCTCTAAAAGCAGTTAATGGTCAGTTAAATAAGGCTGAGATAAAAGAAATTTTAAAAAGCTGTTAATGGTTGAGACTAATAAAAAGAGACTGGAGAAAGTAACCTAACATTGTTTTCATTTGAGCATTCTAAGTGAAAACTCAAGAGTGCTTTCGTTATTCTCCAGGTACATTCCTGGGGCACAGAGGGAAGGGAGAGCGTTGCATTTTAAAGAAGAGAAAATGAAGACCCAAGTCTAGAATTTCTCACTCAGCAAGTCAGTAACAGAGCCACAACTAAAACTATACATCTTTGGATTTGGTTTATCCTTTGAATTCATTGTTTAGATCCTATTGGTTTTACCAAATGTATACTGTTTTTAAGGATTCACAGCTTAAGAAAAACTAAGAATATTAGATTTAAATATCTAACAAATTTCATATAGAATTGATGTGGCCAATTCTTTAAGCATAGCTTTCCAAATATCTAGGTATATAATTGTATGTAATCTTAAATTATACCCACTTAGTGATTATGAACTTCCTTAAAGACTGTTTTTTTATTTTACTGTATTTTGTCTTTCAGGTATATTGTTGATGATTTTGATGTTCAGCTTTTTCCTTCCATGGCTGCATAACAACCATACAATTAATAAAAAGGAATAACTTCCAGAAGACTCAGACTAACATACAGGACAGTCCAGCTGGATGTGATAAATATTTTATCACCTCATATTCAAAATACTGGCTGCACTGGATTCATCAGTGTTCACTTCCTTTGAGGAAGCTGCCTTACAGTTTTCATGACTGGGACATAAAAAAAAAAAAAAACTACTTTGAAAATGAGGTATCTTGTACTTCTCAGTTAAGACTTGTTCTTTGAATGATGTATTAAATGCTGCTAGAAAAGCCTCATTACCTAAACATAAGTCAATCTCAAATGATAATTGTTAACTTTGATGAAAAATGAGTACAGGATGAGAAGGGAAGTAAAGGTGGTATGTGGTAAGACCAAAGAACTTGTGTATCAAGTGTCACTCAAATTAGTAGAATTTTAAGCTGTAGGTACAACCCATCAACTTACAGAACTGGGGAGAGGATACTTTGAGCCACTAGTTCACACAGTGATACCATCAAGCAGTGTCATCTTTCAACAGGAAAGTCACTTATGGAAGTAAATTATATATCCACTCACATGCAAGCAATTTCCTAAATTTTAAGCACATTATAAGCTAACATCTAAAATATTTTCTCTAAATAGACAATCTCACTAGCTCCAGCCAAGTGGTTTCCTTTAATAGAACGTAATAAAACAAAACACCCATACAAAGTGAGGATTTAAGCTTTTCACATTCTCCTTTGGACCAACAGCTAGCTACCTTATGAAGTAGGGCATTTTTTTTGTTTTGTTTTTTGAGATGGAGTATCACTGTATCACCAGGCTGGAGTGCAGTGGCGTGATCTGGGCTTACAACTCTGCCTCTCAGGTTCAAGTGATTCTCCTACCTCAGCCTCCCAAGTAGCTGGGACTATAGGTGCACACCACCACGCACAGCTTATTTTTGTATTTTTAGTAGAGATGGGGTTTTACCTTGTTGGCCAGGATCGTGTCGATCTCTTGACCTCGTGATCCGCTCACTTCAGCTTCCCAAAGTGCTAGAATTACAGGCATGAGCCACAGAGACAGGCCAGGGCATGTATTTTTAATCTCCATTTTATAGATAAGGAAACTAAGCCTAGATGGGTTTGCTGCCCTGGCTTAGCTCACATAGAGCCAAATACCATCTCAGGACTTCGACTTTAATCCAAAAATTCTGGGTCACGATTATGCCTATAGGGAAATCAAGGATTCACAGAAACATTAAATACTTTATAACATTAAAACTTGTTTAGCAATTAGCTACTTTTTGTTTGTTTTTGAGATGTGCCCAAACTGGAGTGCAGTGGTGTGATCTCAGCTCACTGCAACCTCTGCCTCCCAAGTTCAAGCGATTCTCCTGCCTCAGCCTCCCAAGTAGCTGAGACTACAGGTGCGTGCCACCATGCCCAGCTAATTTTTTGTATTTTTAGTAGAGACGGGGTTTCACCATGTTAGCCAGGATGGTCTTGATCTGACCTCATGATCTGCCCATCTCCCGCCTCGGCCTCTCAAAGTGCTAGGATTACAGGCATGAGCCACAGTGCCCAGCCCAACTAGTATTTTTTGAGGCTTAAAGGACCTTCAAGTTGTAGTGTATTAGAAGCCTTCTTTTATTGTATGAGGTCTAATTTTTATTAAAAGTTCAGGCCATGAAAGGTTAAATGTAATTTCCTTCAAAGGAAATTCCATTATCAGAGTTAGAATTCAAAATAAAAAAATATGGGATGAGATGTGATCTGTTTGAGTATTAATCAGTTAACAAGCAACTGACATAAGTTGCCAGGTAATTTAAGTGCTGCTTGGTGATCAGCTCCTAGACAGTTACTCTATTTATACCTGCAGACTGAACAGGTGCAGCCTTTTGCCAACTCTACCCAACAAAACAGCAAGCGTTGTATTTTAAAAAGCAGAGTTCACAAAATGTGACTAAATGGCTAAATGCAGACTCTGACGTATTTTATTTGGCCTGCACAATACTTTTTTTAAGTCGAAATTTAGTAAAACCCATAGTTCCAGCTGTTCTTAGAAATAACTCCAAAGACCTTGCAATACTAGGCCTTCTGCCATACAACACAAAATGGCTGCTCTCTTTAAAATGGTCCCATCTTGCAAACATGAGGCTATGTTTCACTTACTGTTTCATGGCTGTTTTCCTTATAGGAATGTCTTTTTACATCCCTACATGAGGACTTGTGTGGGTTAAGAAAAATCAGTATTGGCTGGGTGCAGTGGCTCATGCCTGTAATCCAGCACTTTGGGAGGCCAAGGCGGGTGGATCACAAGGTCAGGAGTTTGAGACCAGCCTGACCAGCATGGTGAAACCTCGTCTCTACAAAAATACAAAAATTAGCTGGGCGTGGTGGCACACATCTGTAATCCCAGCTACTCAGGAGGCTGAGGCAGGGGAATTGCCTGAACCTGGGAGGCAGAGGTTGCAGTGAGCCAAGAGCGTGCCACTGCACTCCAGCCTGGACGACAGAGTGAGACTTCGTCTCCAAAAAAAAAAAAAAAAAAGAAAAGAAAAGAAAGAAAAATCAGTATTAACTTATGAAAACACCTAGCCCTCTGCACCTCCTCTATCAGACTTTGGAGCTTGTGACTTCTGGTGACACTGCTACCTCGACAGCCCTCTCAACTGGTGGCTATTTTCTTTCCCACACCTTACATACCACTGTGCCTAGAGGCAGAATAGATTTCCTTGACCTCGTTGCTGCTGCCCATCCATCCTCTTCTGCTTCTTCCATTAAAAACATGCCATCAGTTACCTGGGTACTTGTTGCCATCTTCTAGTATATAGTCTCAATTCCCTTTTGTTCCTTTCAAATCTTAGTTCCTGTCTCTCTACCACCACCACAGTTACACTTCTTGATGACAGATACAAAGATGATTCTTCCAGCATCATGACCTTGGAGATCATTGGATCTCTCCTTTGATAATTTTGTCTTCTACTCTGCCTCAGCCACAATTTTAGTGGTAACCCTGAACTTACTACCAATAACTGAAATTTTCTATGAACTCAGACACCCCACTCTCCAATCACTGACCCCTTTCCAGCTCAGTCTCTCTAGGACCCCATCTCCAGTGATCCTTTGACCCCCCCTCCACCAAGAGAACTTCTGTCCACTGATAACACCACTTTTTCTCATCTCTCAACCCTCTCAAGGACCCTCTTCTCCTTAAGCAGCTTACCTGGCCAGTCGTCATCACACATCCACCCTTAACTCCCTTGTTCCTCTATCTCATACTCACAGCTTAGCCTCAACTTGATTAAATCCAACTGTTTGCTTATGCCATGCCTGCACTTGTGCAACAGAATAGCAACTTATTGTTTTTTAAGATTTGGGATTGTAGTAGATGTACATTTTTTGCAATCCAGCATCTAAGCATCCCTCCTGTCTGGGGTAATCCACGCCTGTGAGCATCTACACAGGGCAGTGCCCTTCCACCATAGAAGCAGAAAGATCCAGATACTATGTGAAGGCACACAGTGCCAACCAGTTGTTTCCCTCTTAAGTGTGGTGACTCACAGATACAGGGACAATCAAGAAATCAATTTAACAACAGCAGAGGAATCAACATCTTATATAGACTTCATCTTTTTAAAAGCTTGGTTAACGTCAACTTTTCTGTCCGTTTTGTGAGCTACCCAATAGCATTCTAACAAAAATTTTCTGCCTAGCCCGGGCACAGTGGCTCACGCTTGTAATCTCAGCACTTTGGGAAGCTGAGACAGGTGGATCACCTGAAGTCAGGACTTCAAGACCAGCCTGACCAACATGGAGAAACCTCATCTCTAGAAAAATACAAAATTAGCTGGGTGTGTTGGCACATGCCTGTAATCCCAGCTACTCCGGAGGCTGAGGCAGGAGAATCACTCAAACCCGGGAGATAGGTTGTGGTGAGCTGAGATCACACCATTGCACTCCAGCCTGGGCAACAAGAGTGAAACTCTGTCTCAAAATATATATATATTCTGCTTAAACTAGTCAGATTTGAAAACAAAACAACCAGAATTTGGGCTGACACAGAGTCATAATTTTATTAACATAAATTGCTACACTGGGCCAGGCACAGTGGCTCACACCTGTAATCCCAGCACTCTGGGAGGCTGAGAAGGGTGGATCACCTGAGATTGGGAGTTCCAGACAAGCCTGACCAACATGGAGAAACCCTGTCTCTACTAAAAGTACAAAATTAGCCAGGCGTGGTGGCACATGCCTGTAATCTCAGCTACTCAGGAAGCTGAGGCAGGAGAATCACTTGAACCAGGGAGGCGGAGGTTGTGGTGAGCCAAGATTGCGCCATTGCACTCAAACCTGAGAAGTAAGATTAAACTCCCATCTCAAAAAAAAAAAAAATTGCTACACTGTCCTCACATTTGTACTGTTTACCATAGAGGCTTAGACTGCTATATTTTGTGGAAATAGATATTTGCCTTTTTTTATAATTCTGTCGGCTATTTACTGCTGCTACTGATTTAATTGATGGAACCACCTTTTTCTCTTTGTCTAACCCACTGTGTGCCTAGAAACTAGCTATTCAAGTACATTAGACCTGTTTGTAGAGCAAGGGTAGAGATTTGCAGTGAAGGCCCGAGGTCTATGAGAAAAATGTATAGATTTCATGATGTCTACTTTAATTGCTCAGTGGATTTTTAAACTTCAAGCTAATCAGATGTATTCGATGTATTCTAAATAGTGAGTTGATATATTTGTAGCTGCTGCTTCCTGTTACAAAAAGAATTACTGCTATTGGTAACAACTACCATCTATTCTAGGCACTGTTGGTTTTTTGCTTTTGTGGTTTTTTTTGTTTTTTTTTTTTTTGAGACAGTCTCCCTCTGTCGCCAGGTGCCAGGCTGGAGTGCAGTGGCTCAATCTCGGCTCACTGCAACCTCTGCTTCCTGGGTTCAAACAATTCTCCTGCCTCAGCCTCCTGAATAGCTGGGACTACAGGCAGGCGCCACCATGCCCGGCTAATTCTTGTATTTTTAGTAGAGGCAGCGTTTCACCATGTTGGCCAGGATGGTCTCGATCTCTCGACCTCGTGATCCGCCCGCGTTGGCCTCCCAAAGTGCTGGGATTATAGGCATGAGCCACTGGGCCCGGCCTAGGCACTGTGTTCTAAGTATTTTACAGGTACTAGTGACTCACGTAATCTCAAAATAATCCATTTTTGTCACTTGAAATTATTAAGTTTTTAGATACTGATTTTACTCATGTAAATATGAACAGAGTGAGATATTAGTGAAAATACATTCTAGCTCCCTCATAAAGGGATGGCAATAATTCTATGCTTAT